TGGTTTGATACGAGACTGTCTTATTCCTTTTAATGGTGCTTTCCTCCATGTTACATGAAATGTTTTCCCTACTTTTGTTTTACAAGTAGCTAAATTATTTCTTAGGTGCATGGCTGGTACAAAATTTTTATAATTAGAGGAAGTGCAAACGTTAATGAGTTTTCAGAGAGCTTTGATCATGAGCTTCCTTTTTTGTATGCCTGTAGCTAGAAGGTACTAGGTCCGGCCCATGTGGCAGAGATTCAACTCCTCCTACCTGTTCTTTCTGCCATTCCCTGCTCTTCTTCCTTCTCATGCTTCTTTCTGAATTCTGCTGTCACTGGGGTAAGAAGTTCAGGTTACAAGATGCAGTGAGGAAGACTCTCCCACCACTGCATGTATCTAACTGGTTTCGTTCCATGTCAGCCGATGAGCTTGGAAGGGGGCACTTGAACCTCTTCACTTAGCAGTCCTTGCTTCCGTTCTGGAGGAGCCTCCACTGCATTAGTAGAACAGGACTGCTGAGTTACTTTCTCCTAAAGTCCAACAAGTAATTTACAGAAATATGCTTAGGACTAAACAGCACTGTGGTTCCAGCTCTGCTGGGCCTACTGGTAACTGTTCACCTCTATCCTAACTAGGAGCTGCTTTGGGTGCTGCAGCAGTCACTTCCCTAGAAACCAAAAAAATGGAAAAGAATTCAGATCCCCCCTGGAATGTGGGATACCTCCCATGTCTGGGGCACAGCAAGAGCTGGGCAGAATTTGCCTGTTGCCTGGCTCCAGCCTGGAGCTCACCACTGAAAGAGCCTTGCTGCATCTGCGTTCCAGTAGCATTGCACTAGACCCTTGGCTACCCAGCTTGGAGTGATTGTGGCCTTGATCTTGCTGCTGACATACTGCTTGGGAGCTCTATGCTGATTAAGGCTACACACACTCACAGTCCCTGCGGGACAAATTTAGAAGCAAATACAAATAGAACATTATATATATTCACTGTCGTCTGTCATCTCAAATCTTTCCATGTGCCATCTGTTGTCTGAGGTTGCTGAGCCTGACAAAGCGAGGTGACAGGAGGTAAAGGTTCCCTGTCTGAATTTAAAGCTGTGTCATGACTCCCTGAGCTGTAGGTGCATCAGCAGCCATGGTTGTCTCATGGTTGCTGAAGAGAGCAGGCATCCATGGCTTTGCTGCTCTGTAGTTACCAGCAGCAGAGAGCTCAGCTTGTGCTTGTGTCCAGTCTGAGTCTCTTTTCAGTGAGAAAGTTGCTGCTGAACAAATACAAAGGCTGACCTTATAGCTGCGGAGCAGATACGTTGGTGCTGCCATTTGCCATGCCATATTCAGAGTTTCCTGTTTTTATGTCTGAGATGTGATTGTCTAAGCACATAAACATTATTTTTTAAGATGCCTCTTTTATTTTCTGTTGCCTTTTTTAACTTGTGTCCTTAGACTGGGTAATTGGAACCAATGTAAATTGTTCCCTTTTCACCTTAATAAATCTTGTTAGTAAAGAGCTATTTTGCTATGGCACCAGCAGCCTGATTAGCTAACACCTGGTGGAAACCAAGGACTCCTTGTGGACTTCACAGTTTGAGTAATACATCAATTCACCTTGAAGAGCAGGGTGAACTTTGATTCTGAGGTCTCCTCTGGCTTAGACTTACAGCTCTCCATTGTTGGATCATGTACTTCTTGGTTTTGGGGAGGAGTGCAGGAATGTAGATCATCTGTGGCCTTTATACATCAATTCACTGTATTGTTATTTGTCATGAGTGCCTTGGCATTATGTATGACATCCACTGATGGGAAGAGCAGCTATCTTTCTGCTCTGCATTTCTCATGGTTTTCCACCCTCTCTATTTTTTTCCAGCAGTCATTCCTGCCTCTCCTTTTTTGATCTTCTTTTTACCAACAGTATTTTCTCCTCCCATTTCACTGTGATATCATCTGTGAAACAGTGAACATTGATATTTAAACTAATAAGGGCTGAGATGCCAGCAAAGTTAAGAGCATGTGGAGAGCTTTTGTTGCGCAGAGTTGTTGTTTCAGGCTGTCTGCAAACTCAGGATGGTTACACTGATCTGGATTATTTGAGAGGAGATTTTTGCTACTGCCAGCTCCTGGAATATCCTTTTGTTCTAGAAAGCAAAGCTGAATCCTGCACATTCTAAACACATGCCATGAAGACCATGTGAGTACAACCATGTGAGCTGCATTGGGCCTGTATTTCAGGATACCAACAAGTAAAAGGTATAGGGAGCGTTTCTCAGAAAAGGTGTAAAGAAGAGGAAGTACAGACAGGATAGTAGTGTTTCTGCAGATCTATGAGAGGCACCGGCACTGAGAGTAAACACAGGCACTTAGTTCTGTTGCTCTAGCAATCAGACTTACATTATTGGGTGCCCGCTTCGCTGTGCAGTGCTGGCCTGGGCAGGCTGTCAGTGTGTAGATGCATCCAGGTCAAGGGGAGGATGTGAACTGGGTGCTGTTGTCTGATTGCTGTGAGGACTACATCTGGACTGAGCGACTGAAAGCATTTTCAGTGCTACAGACTCCATATTTGGGACCTTAGTCATCAACTGAAGGTGCTGCCTTCCTCTCTGTTCCTAAGCTAAACTGCACAAGGTTAATTCAATAAATTACTTCATCTTAACCCAAGCACGCACCCTGAGCTCTGGGGAATTGTGCTAGTTTCTGTCCCTTTCTTGCAATATAGCAGCAAGCTGGTACTCCACCTTATTTTTCATTTTCTTTGCTTTAAACAGCATCCCAAGCAGCTTGAACACAGGTGCTTGTTCTTGTCTTTCTTTCTTTTCATTTTCTTCGCTAAAAGGAATTGAAGTGAAACCATACCATTCACAGAGAGCAGCCATGGTAGCAATGATGGGTTGTCAGGCTCAGAGGAGGAGATGCCAGAATAAGTTCAGCAATGACATGATGTTCATTAGCCACAAGAGTTGGAGGAGGAAAATCAAGCACTTGTTTTCAAAGGGATGCCTTTGCTTCTAGTGAGAGGGCTGACCTCCAATTTCCAGGCTCAAGGAAATGACAGCTGCAAAAAATGTTCAGAATACACCAAAATTACCATCTTCTGCCTAGTTATTTGCTACTAAGAGATTCTACTTTGAATATGTTCCTGATTCCAGCACCTCAGGAATTCACAGAAAGCAACCATTTCCAGTGATTCTTTTATTTAAGAACTTTGCTGGATGCTTTACAATTTGTAAAGGGCCTAAGTATTATCACTGAGCTTTTTGTTCTTTGAAGTAAAGCAATCAGCATTTTTATATCCTAAAGCACGGTCTGAGTGCTAGGCAAAAGCAGGCTTACAAGATGCTAGGTGTTGAAAGGAGGTAGAATCTCACAGTTAGAAGTGGGACTTGTAAATTTCAGGAATTCAGACTTGCTCAGTCTCTCTGAGGGTAGACAATACTTTCTGCCTCAGTTTCCCCTCTCCGGTGTGCGAAGATTACTGCTTATCACTTTGTCTATCTAAAAACAGAACACTTCAACTGAAAAATGCCTTGCTTTGTGCTTGTATGGCATCTTATGTAACAGGATTCTGCTGCTGAGTGGTGCTGTGCCAATGCAAGCAGGTATGACCAGTCTTTTCCTGGATAGTCTTTTACTCCAAGTTGCAGGAGATCAGGAGCTGCTTGTTCTCAGATGTGTTGCAGTAAGGCTGTTTAAGAACCCTGGAAGGCTCTGGGGAGATGTAGTTCACAGTGGCAGTTCCTGCCATTGTTTTTTAGACTGCATTTTTGAAAGATATCCAGTGCTGCCTTACAATAAGCAAACAAAACACAATTCATATTTCCTGTGAAAAAGTGACTTGAATTGGATGTCCAGAACCTTGGCTGTGTTACTAGTAAAGCAGTATGAATTGCAGTGACCAGCAAGTACATGCTGGATCTGTGTACCATCCCTGACCACTTAGCGTGTTGCAAATCAAATTTGAGTACTGTTGCTGCTTTTCCAAGCCTTCTGTGGATGGAGTTAAACTTATGTCTGTCAAGACTTGGTAATTTACCAACAAGTAAAGAGATAAGCTTCAATGCTGAGGAAGCAAGACACTGCCCCAGCCATGATTTCAGTAGGTTGCTCAAATTTTTGAAGCTTCTAGCAAGGTTTAGAGCTGCTGCTGAAGGACATTATAGTTATCTGCTTCACATTTAAACCAGGATTTTACTATTAGTTTGCTCACTAAAAGAATACATGCATTTAAAATGTACTCATCTAGCACAGCTCCATCAATTAGCAACCAAACAAAAGGTACTAATTTGATGCAGCCATTAAACCCTCCATGCTTGAGTACTCCATTGGTCCAATTGTGCAAAGTGCTATGAAATGCCAGCTCCCAGCACTAGCAAGGCATGGAGTGAATGCTGGCAGCCTGCAGCAAAGTGCCTTGTAGGCTTTAGAGAAGTCCATCCCTCTTTAATTCAATACCCTCAACAGAAGATCAGCACAAGAGCAAAACTTCAAAATGCCAATGCCCATCAAAGGTTCTTACTGCCCTTCGGACATGCGTGGAGGAATAGGCCCCCAGAAAGATTGGACAGAAAAGAAGAGAGGCCAGGAGCTAACTGCATGCTTGTTATCTTTCACCGTCATAGTGTGCCTGAGGAACAGGAAGGGCCTGCCTGTCTGTATGATACCAAAGACCCACAGGGCTATACTGTCTGCTTTTTGGACAGTGATATCTGTGATCTAAGTTCCTTTTGATAAACACCTTCCTGCTCTCTCTCTCTCTCCCCCTTAATCCTACTGGAATGGATAGTGGCCATGCTGAAGAACTGGGCAGGCTGCTGCTCTTAAACTGATGATGCTGACACAAAGCAACTTTGGTCCTACAGACAAGGAGAAAATGGGACTGGGCTTCATATGCCTGAACCATTAGCATTCCTCATGTCACTGACTGACCAGCCTAAATCTTTTGCAAAGCCTCATTTGTATCATTGTGAACATACTGGCTAATGAGCGCTTTAAGGATGATTTGTTTTTCCTTTCTGGTTTCAGGTCCTCAAAGCTGCTGCGTGCATTCTACATCCCTCTCCTCTCAGAACAGTACACATGGTATGCAAACTATACTATTCTGAAATCCCGGAGGTTGAAGCAAACCAGGAAAAAAATGGGAGGCTAGCAACACACCTGGGCAACAAAACCAAAAGCATCTGCTGACACTCTTGGACAGCTGCCTAAGCCATCTACAGTTCCTTTTTTGAAAGATTGCGCTTGTAAGATTCACTAATAAAGATTTCCCATGAAGTGATTTTGCTCTGCAAGCTTCCAGCTGTGAAAAGGGTGCATCATCTGCTTTCATTTCTCAGTGTCAGGTCTCTGCTCTGCCTACACAGAAAGTATTGGTAAGAAACCATTTGAAAATCCAGCAGCCACCTACAAACGTATTATCCCTGCTGCTCCTTGTGTTATTATTCATTACACTAGAGAAGAGAAAAATGGAAAATAAAAAGGAATGACAGTACGAGGCTTTGCTCCAGGTTGCAATTTGGCACTGGGAAAATCCAGTTCATCCCCTCTCTCTCTCTTTCTCTCTCTCTCCTGCCCCCCACCTCCACCATCCTCATCTGCCAACAAGTTGTTTCTCGTCTAGTGTTTCTGGTACAGAACCAGCCTTCCTGGCAGCAGGCGAAGGAGCCAAGGCCTTTCTTCCTTCAGTCCCTGCTATTCCATAATTGTCATGGATAGTGCTGTTGAGCATAGAGGCAATCTATCCATCCCAGCTGAGACCACTGGGACTGAGGTGGTGAAGTTGCTGCCAATGTTTCTATCATAAAGACTGAGACATAGGTGAGATTTCTGAGAGGAAATGCTGAGGCTCCCCTCATTGTTTCATAATTCACAAGTCAGGACTGTTGCGCTCTGTGCAGTGCTGAGATTAAGCAAAAAGCCATCAATAACAAGAAGATTACTAGTAAATAAACAGACTTGATGGAGTGAGCAGTACAAGGAGTATGTGCATTGGGGCCTGAGGAAGCGACTGCGAGAATTGCCTACCTGGCTCGGGTTTAGCTGGATGAAGGGTCTTGCTTTTTGAATGCAGATATGGATGCAAAGAGCTTTGCACTAAAAGGTGGAGCTGCATCCAAAACAAAACAAAACATTTCAAAAGGCATTTTGTAGTTTGCTTTTCTGGTTCTGTTAGCAAGCTTGAGTGGGGGGGCTTCTGATTTTTTTTAATTTTCTTTTTGCTTTGACCCTAATTAAAGCAAATGTATGATCTTATTATGAGGAGACAGGTTTGGGACAGCTAATTTATGATTTCTATTAAAAAATAATAAAGTCTTGTGGTTTGTGAGCTTGTGGGTAAAGGGTCAAACCACAAATTGCTGATCTGCCTTAGCTGGATTCGCTGCCTAGGGTTGCAGTGGGGTGTTGTGACCAAACCTGTTGGATAGCACATCAGGATTGTGTAGGCAGTCCTTCGTCTCCTTTCTGTCTCTGGAGAAAGGGCTCTTACTATTATTCTGGCTGGTTCTGGAAAAGAAGGTATCTAGATGGCTTTCTACAGTGCTGCTAGTGTCTGACCCAACACACTGACAGAAGCTGGTTTCTTGACAGAAACATACATGGGCACAACCTTGCGGTCATGGCTGTGGCCAGATCAGGTGTCTCGCATGAAGATGAGAGCTGATGCAAGACGCTGATGCTGTTGGTCGGAGACTGTACAGGGGTTACAGCTCTTTTCTGGCAGTATTTCTCCACCTTTAAACTGAGGCTGAGAGCACTGCAGGTTGGACAATCCTGCTGTGAAATACTGGGACCCAGTAAATTTCATCTTGTTTGAGCTCATCCAGCCTTTGCAGCAAGGAGCACTGAGGTGGAGAGTCCGTGAGGAAGGGCCAGCAATGAGACAGATTGACTGTAAGAAATCAGCTGAGGGAAGTCATGATTTCCACAGAATATTTTTTCCTGCTTGTCTGCTGCAGCAGGATTTAAGGTCCATTTCAGTTTTGCTGCTGTTTTTAATTCCTGTTCCTGGGGTTCAGCTGCAACGTGCTCCAAAGGCAGGCGTATGTATAAGCTGATCATCTCACCTAGGGCTCTGCCTGGGGTCTGGGGCATGTCAGAAGAGGGCACTCCTGGACTCCAACATGTTTCCAAGGATGCTGAATGCAAATTTACTCTTTTTTGAAGGGAAAACAAAAATGACACTACATCTCCACGGAGGTGATACTTAAGCTTTCCTTGACTGAGGATTTTTTTCCTGTTCAAAGTTTTTTGTCTTCTTTCTGTAGGAAAATTATTTGAAATAATGTACTCTCATAGAATCCAGGAGCTGAGAGTGTGTGTGAAGAAGTAGGGGCAAAGGAATTGAGGTGTGTGGAGCAGATACCTTGGACATGAATAACAGTAAGTAAAATGTTGAGGGCTGCATGTAGGCTGGGGAGGCTTCAGGCTGGCTTAGCTGGGAATGCCACAGGCCAGCTTTCAGGTGTGAGTGGCAGATCTGCGCTGGACCTGGTTGTTCTAGGAGAGATTGATGGCATGTTGGCAGCTGGTCTGTCATATTGAGAGCGCAGCTGCTGTTTGATAACTATTCCCTCCATAAGAACGGGGAAGCACTTTCACTCACTTGCCACATTGCATTGCTAACATACAGGAGATTTCTGTAAAGCATGATGAAGGGATGTTCTTTCCAAAGTAGACTGTGCATCCCTTGCTGGAGGGACCGTACTGAGGTTTGGTTCCTGGGGAAGTGGTGGTCAGTGTCCAGTGACAACTGCTCTTTCCTCTCCTCTAATTCCCTGCTTTGTCTCTAGTAAGCCTAATGCTTAGATAGTTCTTAGTTGTGGCCCTACTGGTAACAGCTCTTTCCTTACTACTTGTACTAACCTCAGAAGCAGGGACTATCTTAGTGTTTAAGTCCACCTCACATCTAACAAAAGGTATCGAGTTAGTAGGTTGTGTGTTGATTTTGTTTCTGTAAGAAGAGCTCAAAGTAGCAGCAGAGAGAGGCCCTGGTAATGAGATTCTGTGGTTCTGAGTTCCTAGCCCTTGAGGCACTGCTGGAGGAAAGAGCTGTGAATTTCTTTCTCCTCTAGCATTTGTCAGAACCTGAGCATCATCTCAGCCCTGCTGAGATTCAGTGCATGTCCCTGTGAATAACCGCACGTCTCTATCCACTTGCCTGGAGAGGTACTGATGAGGCCTCATCTCTCTGCTTTGCAAACTCCAGCTGTGTCTGCTAAGCAACAAAAAAAGGTCAGGCTGGATGTGCAGGGTGAGAGAGCCTCTTCATCAATGTAGTCCTATGCTGCCCTCCTGCCCTGTTCTTCATCCAGGCAAGACTGGAGAACTGCAACCAGGACTGGACAGAGGTGCATTTTTTGTGGGATCAGTGAAGAGGCAGGGTCTGAAGCTAGATGTGGAGGCAGGCTCTGATCTCCTCCAAACAAGTGCACGTGTCTGGATGCCTGATATAGAGACTGGACTGGAGAGCCAGGAGCCTGGGTTCTTCTGTGGTACTGTCAATCACTTGTCCTGTAACTCTATGAATCCTGCTTGAGAGGTGAATTACTGGGTAAATGTTTAAACATGATTCAGAAAACATGCTTCACACAACTTTTTCTAGAAAAGGGCCAGTTTCCTTGTATTACACCCAGCACAGAGAAGGCTGCTCTGGCCTCCTCTGGTTTCTAATAGTCCATATGACATTGTTGTAGCACTTGTCCTGCCTGGAGTGAGCAAAGAGGCATTCTCTGGGAAGTTTCCTCTGTCCTGTGTTGAAATGGGTTGGTTGGAAAGACTGTCTGTGTAGTGAAGAGCAATTATTCTGCCTCAGCACATGTTGTCCAGGTGCTGCCCTGTGCTGCAAAGCCCAGTTTTCTCCCTCGTATAGAGAAGAGGCTGTTTTGACCTTTTCTGTTCTTAATTCTCACTTTGTACTTGGCTGTGGAAGCTGCACTTTCAACACATTGTATCTGAGTCAGCAAGAAACCACAACAGCGCCACTGGATGTGTTTTTTTGTGGTGAATTCATAAGAAGTTGCCCATGCTATCAGATCTTGTTTGAGACCAGCCCAGTGGTCAAGGCATAGTAGCAACAATCTGTAGACTTGGGTTTTGCCTTGATTTGGGGGATAGGTAGCTTTCCACATTCCTGACATTCTTTCCACTGCTGCAAAATCCTTGAGGCAGGTGCAGTCCTTGCCTGTATTTCACAGTGCATTGCACCATGGGTTCCTGGACTGTGCTCAGTGCTGCTGCAGGTGTGAGTAACCAAAGAGTCAAAGCAAGAGGTGCAATTACCAGGCTCCTCTGTGTCTTACCTTGCTGTTGCTAGACAGGGAGAGGGTGGTTGGCTTTCCCTGGGAGAAGGCTTTTATATTTCTTCTGCACAGCCCAGTTTGCTCCAGCATCTCTGCTGGCTCTGATTGTGCCTCTGAAGATACAGAACCTGCTGGTACTCTTCTGGCTTGAACCCACTGCAGCTAGACTCGGGCCCTCCTCTAACTCACAGCTTCTCGGGAATATGCCTGAGGAGCTTTCCAGCAGCTTTATGCAATGCTGTCTGAATCATGCAATAAACAAGTCCAACTCCTATTATTAGACTTTCGAAGCTGCTGCCTTAGAGACAGGTTTGCTTATAAATATCCATGATTTTCTCTCTGGCTCTTCACTAGGGAAGCTGGTAAGAAAAAAAGGATCTCTGCTTCTCCAGAACCTGCCTGTCCCTGCTGTTGTTGCTTCTTCCCACCTGAGCTCATCCTCCTCGCTCTTCCAGTCTCCCAAGTTCTAGCTGTGCTAATGAGACATCTGCTCCAATGTCAGCAGGGTGGCAAATACCAGCTATTTTAGAGGGGGACAGGAAAACACAAATAATAAGTAACTGGACAAAGAACTTGCCAAGGTCACCACAGTGTGTAGGTATGCAAACCAGCTGCTTTGGTAGCTAAAGCAGAAGTACTGGGTCTAGTTCCCTACGCAGCTCCAACAACACCCTGCATGAGTGTGAGAAAGCCTCAATGCCTCATGAAACAGGAGTGACTTCCTTTCTCCGCCTTGTTTGAGGAAGGACAGATCTAAGGCTCACCAAAAAGCAATGGAAATGTCGACTTCAACAAGCTTTGCAGCAGGCCTCTGAACTGCACTGACTGTCTCGTAACGTGTGAATGCATCTGGGCCAACAGCACTGTTGTCTCACTCAAGGCTGTTAGCTTTCCCATCCAAATGAAATAGCCATCTTCTTCCCATGACAAATCTTCCCAGCACAGATTCCCTTGACCCACCTGCCTGCCTGTGCCGCTGCTCTCTCTGCCTC